AAACAATCAAGACATTTTCATCTCATTTTCATCTTCATTCTTGATGTAAAGAGCATGCTCATAAGGACACTTCATGAACCCTTTCTCTTGCAGATACTTATCTATTCAGGTATTCTATGCTCTTGGTGCTTGCTTTAGCCTGTATAGAGCCTTTTTTAGCTTTAGAATCTTGTCTTCTTGACCTTTGACTTCATATCCTGGTGGCTGCTTAATGTAGACTTTTTATACAAGTATTCCATTCAAGAAGACAGAGTTTACATCCATTTGATGTATTCTCCACTTATTTTGAGATGCCAAAGAGATGATTAGTCTAACAGTTTCTAATCGAGCAACAGGGGCAAATATCTCATCATAGTCGATGCCTGCTCTTTGACCATAGCCTTTTGCCACCAATCTTGCCTTGTATCTTTCAACTTCTCTGTTGGAATTCTTCTTCGCTTTATACACCCACTTCACATCAATTGTTTTATGCCCTTTAGGAAGTGAAGCTAGCTCCCATGTGTCGTTCTTCTCGATTGCCTTGATTTCTTCATCCATTCCATCTTTCCACTTCTTGCTTTGTATGACTTCTTTGAAGTCCATGGGTTCATAGTCGGCGAAGAGACCAAAAAGAGTAAGATTATCTTGATTCATAGTTACCTCATAAAGATCTTCTAATCTTCTGAAGTGTGCTACTCTTTCACTTGAATTTTCTCTTGAAGTTGATGACGATGAGTTGCTTTGAATACTTGTTGTTTGTGGAATAGTAGACTCTTCTCTTGCTTGCTCGATCCTTGGCTCTATGTCTTCTTCTTGGAAGTATGGGAAAAAGTTATAGTCCTCAGCATGTAGTCCCCAGTTTTTTTTGAGATCCAACTTGAAGAAGGATACTTTGCAACATCATGACGATCCGGATCTAGCTTTTCTTTTGAACTTTAAACAAGCCTTATTTTTTTCATGTAACCAATGAAAATGAACTTCTCGCTCTTGTCATCCAGCTTACTTCTTTTCTCGTCGGGTATGTGTACATGAGTTATGCATCCAAGTAGATGAGGATGTCGGATTCGGATTTCCTTCCACTCCATGCTTCTTGTGGTGTCTTTCCCAACACACTTCTTGTTGGTGATCGGTTAGCCAAATAAACAACACATGCAGCCACTTCTGCCCAAAACTCCTTCGGTAATCTCTTGTCTTTTAACATGCTCCTTGTCATGTTGAAGATAGTACTATTCTTCCTTTCTGCTACTCCATTTTGTTGGGGGGATCTTGGAACAGTTAGAAGTCGACGTATTCCGTTGGCTTCACAAAATTCTTGAAATTCTTTTGAAGTGAATTCTCCTCATTTATCAGATCGCATAGCTTTGATCTTGAGACCACTATCTTTCTCTACATCTGCCTTAAACTTCTTGAATATTCCAAAAACCTCTGATTTTTGTTTTAAGAAATACACCCATGTTTTTCGTGAAAAATCATCTATGAAGAGAAGAAAATAGTTGCTCTTACCGAGTGAGTTTCTTTTACCGAGTGAGTTTGGTTTTATTGGACCACAGACATCGGTATGTATGAGCTCAAGAGGCTTTTGGGCTCTTGAACTTGACTCCCTTGGAAAGTTTTTTCTAAAGTGTTTTTCAAGTAAACATCCTTCACATAATTGATCAGGGTGGTTGATGCAAGGTAATCCTCTCACCATCTTTTTCTTTGAAAACAAATCGAGTCCTCCGAAGTTGAGATGCCCAAATTGAAGATGCTAGAGCCAAGAAGCATTTTTATAACATGTCTTCAGACATTTGACAATATCGTTTTAAATGTTGAGTGAGAACATTCTATTTTTAGACATTGGCATTTTAGCAATCAAGTTACCAATATTGTCTTTTAAAAAGAGAATATTTTCTTTCAAGTGAATATCATATCTCTTCTCCAAGAGTTGCCCTAAGCTCAAGATGTTGTTTTTCATATTCGGCACAAAGTAAACATTAGAAATAAATTGATGCTTCCTATTTTGCTGACGGATGAGAATGTTACCTTTGCCTTTCACCTCTATCTTGGACTCATCTCCAAAAGACACATTGCCACTTACTGATTCGTCAAGCTCTACGAACATGCCTCGTCTCTCACACATATGGTTGGTTGCACCGGTGTCCAAGTACCATGTACTATCTCCTCTTTCATTGCCTTTGTATGCTAGAAGTAGAGTGCCATCTTCTTCTTTTTTTTCTTCAATGTAGTTGGCTCTTTCATTAACTTTGTACTTAGGTGCTCTGCATTCTTTCGCATAATGCCCGAACTTGTTACAATTATAGCACTTAATTTGAGATTTATCATACCTCAAGTTTGAGCGCCATTTACCACGTCCACTTGTAGATCCACGTCCACTTGTATATCTTTCTCTTTTCTCATAGTTATTGTTGGTACTACATCCTTGCTTGCTAGCATGGCCACGTCCTCATCCACTACCTCTTCCATTGTGGCTTCTAATGTTGTTGAAGCTTTCATCTTTCTGAGTTAATTGAAGATTCGTCTTGAGAAGTTGTTCGAAAATCTCTTCATTCTTCTTCTTTTCTTCATGGGCTTGCAATGAACCCAGAAGTTGCTCTATCGTCATGGCTTGTAAGTCCTTTGTCTCTTCGATAATGGTTGTGATACTATCAAATTTTGAATCTAACGATCAAAGAATCTTTTCCATGATAGCCACATTTTCTAACTTCTCACCATTTCTTTTTAGTTGATTAGAAATGGTAATGACTCTAGAAAAGTAATCGAAGACCAACTCGCCTTCTTTCATATGCAAAACATCAAATTGACTTCTTAAAGTTTGAAGTCGTACATTTTTAACCTTCTCTTCTCCCTTATACGAAACCTCGAGCTTCTTTCATGCTAGTTTGGCTGAATTAGCACTTGGGATCTTCTCAAAACCATCTTCATC